AGTCTCAGTTTAGCTTTGGGAGAAGCTATTAAGGAGCAGTTTAACTCCAAAGTCCTTAGTCCAGTGGCTTGTTATCTCTGCCACTTTGCTTTCTTTCATTCTGAGGCTTCAATCGGGAAGGTTGAGACCAGTGCGCCACTCTCAGTATATCAGTAGCTTCACATTCACAAAACCCCTGCTGGACCTCCTCGCACCATAACAACTTCATTCCAATGAAGCTGTTATGGTCCCAGAGTGTTCCTTTAATTACATTTATTCAGCTTCAAATACCATAAAATTAAAAAAAAATGTATAAAAATAAAATAAAATGAAAAACATGTATGTTCTAAACACAGTACAAAATGTAGGCAAAGACAATTATCCTACCACTCATACTGTCAAATGTAAAATGAGCTTACCAAAAGCCTCTAATCATAATATGATGTACAATGGGTTTTATTTTAGGAATCTGGTAGTTTTATTTACAACTAGGAAGACTTTATTGCTTCTATTTATTTTTATTTTATTAAGTGTTCTTGCATAGCAAGACCACTTAATGTTATCTCACATATATATTTAAGTGTTCTTGCATAGCAAGACCACTTAATGTTATCTCACATATATATTATTAAGTGTTCTTGCATAGCAAGACCACTTAATGTTATCTCACATATATATTATTATTATTATTATTATAGCAAAATTTGCCACCCTAACTCCTCCCACAGTTTTTACACTACATAGACAAAATTTACCAAAACGTGCAGATTGTTCCCGATCGGATTGCTATTACTTTGTGGAACGTTTCGCCGAATGGTTCACGGAATATCGTCGTTCTTGTGGCGAAATTTGTCCCATAGGAATGAATGGCAAAGCTAGAGTGGGAGCTGGCAAAAGCTGAAAAATCAGGACATGATTTCTAAACTGCCACCACTCCCTCATTTTCAAGCCCACCTACACAAATCTTATATCAAAACGTTCAGCTATCCCTGCTGCCACTAGAAATGTCCACGGCTAAGCCATAGTCCTGATAGATTTCACAATATGACCATTTGTTTGCAACTCATGCCTTCCATTGACATTCATTGAAACTTCACTCACGTCAGCTCAAATTTGAAGGGCAATTTCTAAACTGCAACTGTGCCTTCAATTTTAATACTTCAGAGATATACTATGCATCAAAATGTAGGTCTGGGTCTTGTGATTCTCACAATATAAAGCTTTTCACTGTAGGAGTTATAGTGTTTAAGATACGACCGTTAGAAGATGGCAACCGCCAAAATACTCTGACCTGTGTCAAGCTGCAGCAGCAAGTGATGTCATAGACAGGGCCTTTTGAACACCTGCTAATGTTTTATAAATGTATGGTTTAATGTAACTGTGCAACAACGTTGCAATTAAATGTGCTATGTAAATGATAACAGTTACTCCGCCCACTCCAGTTGTAGACTACAGGTGGAGGCAAGAACACTTCACACAATTTCCCCTGAAATTGTAACTTTTCTAGTTATTATTATTATTATTATTATTCTTATTATAGCAAAATTTGCCACCCTAACTCCTCCCACAGTTTTACACTACATAGACAAAAATTTACCAAAACGTGCAGATTGTTCCCGATCGGATTGCTATTACTTTGTGGAACGTTTCGCCGAATGGTTCACGGAATATCGTCGTTCTTGTGGCGAAATTTGTCCCATAGGAATGAATGGCAAAGCTAGAGTGGGAGCTGGCAAAAGCTGAAAAATCAGGACATGATTTCTAAACTGCCACCACTCCCTTATTTTCAGGCCCACCTACACAAATCTTATATCAAAACGTTCAGCTATCCCTGCTGCCACTAAACATGTCAACGGCTAAGCCATAGTCCTGATAGTTTTCACAATATAATCATTTGTTTGCAACTAACGCCGTCCATTGACTTTCATTGAAACTTCACTCTGCAAAGCTCAAATTTGAAGTGCAATTTCTAAACTGCGACTGTGCCTTCAATTTTAATACTTCAGAGACATACTATGCATCAAAATGTAGGTCTGGGTCTTGTGATTCTCACAATATAAAGCTCTTCACTGTAGGAGTTATAGTTTTTAAGATACGACCGTTTGAAGATGGCAACCGCCAAAATACTCTGACCTGTGTCAAGCTGCAGCAGCAAGTGATGTCATAGACAGGGCCTTTTGAACACCTGCTAATGTTTTTATAAATGTATGGTTTAATGTAACTGTGCAACAACGTTGCAATTAAATGTGCTATGTAAATGATAACAGTTACTCCGCCCACTCCAGTTGTAGACTACAGGTGGAGGCAAGAACACTTCACACAATTTCCCCAGAAATTGTAACTTTTCTAGTTATTATTATTATTCTTATTATAGCAAAATTTGCCACCCTAACTCCTCCCACAGTTTTTACACTACATAGACAAAAATTTACCAAAACGTGCAGATTGTTCCCGATCGGATTGCTATTACTTTGTGGAACGTTTCGCCGAATGGTTCACGGAATATCGTCGTTCTTGTGGCGAAATTTGTCCCATAGGAATGAATGGCAAAGCTAGAGTGGGAGCTGGCAAAAGCTGAAAAATCAGGACATGATTTCTAAACTGCCACCACTCCCTTATTTTCAGGCCCACCTACACAAATCTTATATCAAAACGTTCAGCTATCCCTGCTGCCACTAAACATGTCAACGGCTAAGCCGTAGTCCTGATAGTTTTCACAATATGACCATTTGTTTGCAACCAACGCCGTCCATTGACATTCATTGAAACTTCACTCTGCAAAGCTCAAATTTGAAGTGCAATTTCTAAACTGCGACTGTGCCTTCAATTTTAATACTTCAGAGACATACTATGCATCAAAATGTAGGTCTGGGTCTTGTGATTCTCACAATATAAAGCTCTTCACTGTAGGAGTTATAGTTTTTAAGATACGACCGTTTGAAGATGGCAACCACCAAAATACTCTGACCTGTGTCAAGCTGCAGCAGCAAGTGATGTCATAGACAGGGCCTTTTGAACACCTGCTAATGTTTTTATAAATGTATGGTTTAATGTAACTGTGCAACAACGTTGCAATTAAATGTGCTATGTAAATGATAACAGTTACTCCGCCCACTCCAGTTGTAGACTACAGGTGGAGGCAAGAACACTTCACACAATTTCCCCAGAAATTGTAACTTTTCTAGTTATTAAGTTCTTGCATAGCAAGACCACTTAATGTTATCTCACATATATATTATTATTATTATTATTATAGCAAAATTTGCCACCCTAACTCCTCCTACAGTTTTTACACTACATAGACAAAAATATACCAAAACGTGCAGATTGTTCCCGATCGGATTGCTATTACTTTGTGGAACGTTTCGCCGAATGGTTCACGGAATATCGTCGTTTTTGTGGCGCAATTTGTCCCATAGGAATGAATGGCAAAGCTAGAGTGGGAGTTGCCAAAAGCTGAAAAATCAGGACATGATTTCTAAACTGCCACCACTCCCTTATTTTCAGGCCCACCTACACAAATCTTATATCAAAACGTTCAGCTATCCCTGCTGCCACTAAACATGTCAACGGCTAAGCCGTAGTCCTGATAGTTTTCACAATATGACTATTTGTTTGCAACCAACGCCGTCCATTGACATTCATTGAAACTTCACTCTGCAAAGCTCAAATTTGAAGTGCAATTTCTAAACTGCGACTGTGCCTTCATTTTTAATACTTCAGAGACATACTATGCATCAAAATGTAGGTCTGGGTCTTGTGATTCTCACAATATAAAGCTCTTCACTGTAGGATCTATAGTTTTTAAAATACGACCGTTTGAAGATGGCAACCGCCAAAATACTCTGACCTGTGTCAGGCTGCAGTAGCAAGTGATGTCATAGACAGGGCCTTTTGAACACCTGCTAATGTTTTATAAATGTATGGTTTAATGTAACTGTGCAACAACGTTGCAATTAAATGTGCTATGTAAATGATAACAGTTACGTCGCCCACTCCAGTTGTAGACTACTGGTGGAGGCAAGAACACTTCACACAATTTCCCCAGAAATTGTAGCTTTTCTAGTTTTATTTTATTTATTTATTTATTTTTATTTATCATCAATAGAAACAGAACAGGAGTTTACACATACATTTCCACACATACATTTTCTAGATATTGAAAACATACTTTTCAAGATGCTTTTACATATGTCTGTGTATGCCCTTTATCTATGCATGGGAAAAATGGTTGTAAATAGATGCATGTTCAATTAATATCATAGCTAGCTATATTACATAGTTACATACCTACATAGCTGAAAAGAGACTTGCGTCCATCAAGTTTAGCCTTCCTCACAAATGTTGTTGCTGTTGATCCAAAAGAAGGCAAAAAACCTGGTCTGAAGCGCTTCCAATTTTGCCACAAACTAGGAAAAAATTCCTTCTTGACCCCAAAATAGCAGTCAGATGTCTCCTTGGATCAAGTAGCTATTACCCCACTAATTAGAAATTATATCCCTGTATGTTATGTTTTTGTAAGTATTTATCCAATTTCAGTTTAAACATCTGTATGGACTCTGACAAAACCACCTCTTCAGGCAGAGAAATCCATATCCTTATTGTTCTTACTGTAAAAAACCTTTTCTTTGCCTTAGATGAAATCTCCTTTCTTCCAGCCTAAATGTGTGACCTTGTGTCCTATGTATAGCCCTGTTTATGAATAGATTTCCAGATAAAGGTTTGTACTGGCCCCGAATATATTTGTATAAAGTTATCATATCCCCTCTCAGGCGCTGTTTTTCCAAACTAAACAGATTAAATTTTTTTTAACCTTTCTTCATAACTAAAATGCTCCATTCCTTTTTATCAATTTTGTAGCTCGTCTCTGTACTTTTTCTAGTGCCATGATATCCTTCTTTAGAACAGGTGCCCAAAATTGCACAGCATATTCAAGGTGTGGTCTTACCAGCGATTTATAAAGAGGCAAAATTATATTTTCATCCCGAGAATTTAAGCCCCTATTTATACTAGCCATACCTTCTGGCCTTAGCAACTGCAGATTGACATTGCATATTGCTGCCCAATTTGTTGTCTATAACAATTCCCAAATCCTTCTCATGTGTGGTTATCCCTAATTCACTACCATTTAGGGTGTAAATTGCTTGTGCATTCTTAACCCCCGAAGTGCATAACTTTGCATTTCTCTGTGTTAAATTTCATCTGCCATTTTAGTGCCCAGTCCCCCAATCTATCCAAATCTCTCTGCAGCAAAGCAATATCCTGCTCACATTTTATTACTTTACAAAGTTTTGTGTCATCTGCAAACACTGATACATGGCTTTCAAGATCATTTATAAATATGTTAAATAGAAGTGGCCCCAAAACAGAACCCTGAGGGACACCACTTACCACTTTTGTCCAGCCTGAAAATGTACCATTAATTACAACTCGTTGTACTCTATCGTTAAGCCAATGTTCTACCCAAGAACAAGAATATTCATCTAGACCAATTTCTTTTAGTTTGAAGACTAACCTATTGTGAGGAACCGTATCAAATGCCTTGGCAAAAATCCAAGTAGATCACATCCACTGCAACACCCTGATCTATACTTCTACTTACTTCTTCGTAGAATGCAATTAGGTTAGTTTGACATGACCTATGTTTCATAAAACCATGCTGATTATTGCTAATAATGAAGTTCTTCCCAATGAATTCCTGAATATTATTCCTTAATAGCCCTTCAAATATTTTCCCAGTTATAGAAGTTAAGCTCACAGGTCTATAATTTCCAGGCAAGGATTTTGAACCCTTTTTAAATACAGGAACAACATCTGCCTTCCGCCAATCCTCCGGTACAACACCTGAAACAAAAGAATCTTGAAAAATTAAATACAGAGGTTCACTTATTTCCCCACTTAGCTCCTTTAGTACTCGTGGGTGAATACCGTCAGGCCCCGGAGCTTTATTTACATTAATTTTCTTTAATAGCTGTAGCACCTTGTCTCGAGTTATCCAATCACAAGTTATTTGCAAGTTTTTTGCAGCAATCATTTGCATATCTCTTGCCATAGGATCCTCATTAATATATACTGAAGAAAATAGTTATTTAAAATTTCTGCTTTTTCCTGGTCTTCATTAGCTAATAAACCCAACTCTGTTTCAAGTGTACCTACACTGTCATTTTTTGTTTTTTTAGAATTGATGTACTTGAAAAATTTTTGGGGGTTGGTTTTGCATTCTTTAGCTATCAATTTCTCATTTTCTAGTTCAGCCACTTTAATTGCCTTTTTGCAAGCGTTATTGGCTTCCTTATATCTTAAATAGGATGCCTTTGATTTGTCTGATTTAAATGCTTTAAATGCCCTTTTCTTATTTTTAATCTCTTGTTTTACTTCTCTACTAAGCCACATTGGTTTTAATTTGTTTCTTTTATATTTATTACCCACATATTGTAATTGCATCTTTTTGTTCTTTCTTTTTTGTAGCGGAACACTTGATAATTCTACGTAAATTCGTTTTGGTGCTTAATCTTGGCAGTTTCACAAAAAAAAAAAAAACAGAATTATTAAACTGCCACAATTAAAAAATAAACTACTTGCATTTTCAGGGTAATTCACACAATCGATAATTGTCAGGAAGTGACATTTCAAATTTAAGGCCAAAGTAGCTGAAAAAAATGTCCAAGTCAGCTATGTTTTCTATTCAGCTACTTGGGTGTATAAAATAAGTGCTTCATGTGTGAAGAGTGTGTCCTCTTTCTTTTTATTTTATGAAAAAAGAGTAGATTTCAATAGAAAAAAGCCCTTTTAAAAATGAACTTTGTTACACCTCCTGGCTTGCAAACAGACAACAGGTCCAGTTACGTCCTGGTTTGGTTAGCTCAGTGGAGCTAAACTCAAGAGGCAGCAAATGCCAAGAACACCTGCTTTGCAAAGACTTTTCATTGAGCTGCATTGGGAAGTCTGTGATTGGATACCACAGAAAGTCTGGGCGGGGTTAGAAGGGGCAGTCATGCAAAAACTGGAGAGAAGATAACTGCAGCTTTTGCAAGCTGTTATAGATATAACTTTAATAAGAAAATGCATAATTAAATGCATACATGTTATCATTTGAAGAATATCTACTAAACCGTCTTGTTGATTTCATTTGGGCAGTTAAGTGTCCATTTAAATCTGAATTCCCAATACAGTTATAATTGTAGTGAATAACCCTGTTTGTAGCCAAATATTTTATGGCATTTTCAGCAAAATATTAAGTATAATATTTGCATATAAAATTACACTCACGTTGAGCCTGTTCAGCCTTGATTTTGTTGAATCGTACTTCTTCATGTAATGCAGAATTGATAGGCCGCAACCAAAATCTTCCCTTATATTACCTATGACAGAGGGGTTTGAAGTCATTGGTAATATAAGGGAACATATGGTGAAATAATTCAAAAGGAATAAGTGAGAAAATTAACCTGTGAAAAAAATAGATAAGAGATAAATGAAGGGACATGGGAGAATTTTGGAAACTATCATGAGGAGAAGTGAAAAAGAAAAACGCAGAGATGGAAAAAGGAAGATAAAAAGAGGCTATGTGTATAATTACTTGCTTCATTTTTGGTGGGGTTACAGAGCTCTCCCCTGCTGTGGTTTATGTGTACCATTCATTGGAAGGGGAATGCATTACTCCTATTTACATATTTAATTGTTGTGCCTTCCTTTCTTTACGAATGTGCCTCTTTCAATATATGCACTAAGCAGACTTTTTTTTGGAATTGGGCTGAAATTATATCCTCACACAATTAGTGCCCAATTCAGGGGAGAAATGTGTAGGATTTTTTCATATTAGTTTTTATTTTATTTTTATATTCAGTGCTAAAAAAGAAAATGTCAACACATTACAACAAGGAAATTGCTTCTAATTATACAATGTTACTGCTGCCTTTGTAAATAGCCCTCCATGTAGCACAAATGATCTGCTACGTTCTGAAGATCCCAGTTGATTTCATAATATGTGAAAATGATGATCTTGAACTTCTAAATGCAGCACGTATCCCCCAAAGAGCCATATTATTTAAGAATACTGGATTTCAAACAGATGCAGTTGAAAGATTAAGTTGAAACCATTGATTCCTTGTATCTTGTAACCTTCTGGCAGTTAAGGATGAGAGAGCAGACAGAAATGGTTTCAGAGAGAAACAAAATAATAGAGAAAGGAAAAGAGCCACAGCTCCTGTAGCTTTCTAGCTCATCATCAGAGAGATATGGTCCTCACATTGATTGCTCTGGCTAAAGAGATATGTGGGCCATAAGCAGGATCCTTTATTGCAGATTCAGAGTGTGTTGGAGAGGTCAGTGAATCAGAAAGATGAGGACTTTACAAGCCAAGCAGGGCATCCTTGCAGGACTTATAACCAAAGAATTTTTAAAGTTAACCATTACCTAACGTGTTTCTTTCAACCCAACTACTTTGAAACAGCAAAAAGACAATTGTATATACTCTAACAGCTGCAAGGCAGCAACTAGATTCATCACGTGGCCAATCAAAGACTGAATGCAGTTTATGTACAGTTTATTTTACCAGAAATGGCACATTATGGTGTTTAATCTTTTGCATATTACCCAACTTATTGCTATTATTTATATTGACCTCTCTGGTGTGAAAGTCTGTGTTGACCATGCCAGGAGAAATTGCAACACTGCTGTAACAGATTCCCTATACTCCAGCTGCGTGTATCCACTGTAGTTCTCCCAAATCGCCAGTGAAGCAGTGATTATAGCTCCCAATTTCCCAAATATAGTCTAGACTTGATGAAGGGTAGAAATAAATGTGTTTAATCATGGCCAATTGGCCCGCTTATGTACAAAACAAGGAAGCAGTTAAACACGCCCATAACACTCCCACGGTCGCCTCCTGACAAAAACAGTTCCATAACATTCGCAGCTAAGTCCCGCTGAGGTGACTGGGAACCCACAAAGTCCTCATGCCGAAATTAGTTCCATATCGGTCGCGGCTAAGTACCGCTGGGACTATTCATGGGTTTGGTTCCTGCGAACGGCCACCAGAGAGCTGGTGTTCGGTTCCATTTGCATGAAGGGAAAGTGCCAAACCAGGGAAACCAAAGGCAAGCTACTAATGGCAGTTGGGGAGATTTAACTCCCGAACAGGGTATTGGAATATGGTCCATAGTCTTGGGACAGGAGACTAGCTAGCAAGCTCCTCCAGGAGCTTGTGACAAATGTCCATCATCAACTGCCATCATTTCTACGGATGGTGCGAGTAAGCGGTCTTACTTTTTGTTTCATCTGCCTAATATCATTTGCTATGTTACTTATTTTACTCTTACCAAGTCATATCACTTAAAGGAATACTATAGTGTCAGGAATACAACCATTTATTCCTGACACTATAGTGTTTAACTAGCCATTTAGGCGATTGGCCCTCTGATCACATTGGAAAGGTGAGCTTACTTACCCTTTTTCCCCATATTGTGACGGTATCACCATGGCTGGCCCTGCTTCCATGGTTAAGATCATCAGTCTTTATGATCTCAGCCAAACCAATGTTTTTCCATTGGAGACTATTGCGCATGCATAAGAAAACCCCACATTGCGCCAGTCAGCAACTTCTCTTGAGAATGTTCAGCTCCTCCAATGCGTGGAGATGCTGAATGTCTGTGCAGCACTGGACTCGGAAGCACCTAGAGGTGTTCTTAGATAGCAATGCAAACACTGCCCTTGCTCTGAAAAGGCAGTGTTTACACTGCTCAGCTTGCAGGGAAAGGCTACAGTTACAGTGGTTCTGGGGACTATAGTGTCCCTTTAATTCTTAAAAAAAAATTGTATTCACATGGTTTCCTTTACACCTCTGAAGTAACTAATTTCTTAAATAATCCAAAGTATAATAATTCAAAAGGCATATACATATTAGATCACTAAAAATAAATGCTATATTTTCCTTTTTCAGTGTAAACATCACAAAGAATGTATTGCAGCAACATCTATATAAAACAGCTGGTTTTCTATATGTTTTTTTAATAAATTATATAAAATAGTTAACCTTTGTGAAGTCCATCATATATTGGCACTATTTCACAAATATAATATGAATTAATATATGTTAGAATTAGAGAGTCTATTCCTTTTTGATGTAACACCGACAAACACAGAACATGTAATTGCTGGATAGCTCCTTTCTCTGTGTTCGTCCTTAAAGGACCACTATAGGCACCCAGACCACTTCAGCTCAATGAAGTGGTCTGGGTGCCAGGTCCCTCTAGTTTTAACCCTGCAGCTGAAAACATAGCAGTTTCAGAGAAACTGCTATGTTTCATTGAGGGTT